CCTATAATGTATTACACAATCGTCAAAAAGCAGGACATTTCGCCAGAAATGTCCATCGTTTTTCGCCATCTAAATTTTTCCTGCAAAATTCTGGGTTTTCGTTTGTTAGTTTAGGCTCACATTTAAGAATCAAATTTATTTTGCCAAGAAAATTACGATAATTCTCAATTTTCTTAACTTTTAAGCTAGGCCTAACTAGTGGAGCATGTTGTAGTCTGTAATAAAGCTAAACGTTTTCTTTAAAGCATCCTTCTGAAAAGCTAAGAATGTAACCCTTGAGTAACTATGTTAATTTTCGGGTAAACAAAGTAGATGATTTTAACAAACAAACTAAGGCTAAACATATGTGTACTAAACTTCAATCATTTGTGTAAGTGAATCGCACGTGTTTTCTAAACATAGATGCTTATATGCAAATATATGAGACAAATCTGATATTACAAAACATCATAGAGAATCTAAATAATCTCACATATGTGGTTATAGAACGATACCAATATTCACACAAACATTACCCAATGGTGAAAGTGTGTTTATTTAACATGAAAATCCATAATTTTATGTCTGTGTATAAATAACCCAAAGTTTACTGGCTGTTTTTCGTTTTTACGAGCAGTTTGGTTTGATTTATACAATCGTTAATTTCTAAAGCTTCAGTTGCAAATGTTAACTGTTCTGTAATAATGTCTCAGTCAACTAATGAGACATTATTCGTGTATTATGTTTGGATTGTGAAACTGCCAACTTAACAGCCTTCAAAGCCTTAAGAGAAATGTATGAGAAATCAATCAAATAATGTTTTTAACTGATCAGTTACAACTCTAGGCTAAGATTACCCAATAGTAAGGAACGTCCGTTAAAGTAACTGAATAGCTGAGAAACTTGGTTTTTAGTAACGACTCATTTATTTATGAACCCTACACTGACCTGCACGCTTTTAGCTATTAAGGAATTTAATGAAAAGCGTACGATGCAATTATACTAATGACTGGATAATACGCCAACGGGCCATATTGTAAGATTTATGTTTCCCTATGAACATATGGGTCCTTGCAGTACTAACAGTATTAGTGTTTAGAAAGTGGCCAAGTTTTCATGCCAAATTCCTTATTGTTTTTGTTTTTTTTTCGGATTTGGAAAATTAAACCACGTGGATCCTTATTTATAAGATGTCACGATTATCAACAGCTTATAATTACTGCTATAAATCTACTCTGAAAACTAAAATGTTTCTAAATATTTCAAATATTTTTATATGATAACTGGACACATAAGTACTAATGTTAAAGAAGCTAAAATAATTTATATTCCTTGGTAGCCGCTGACATTTTGAAATAGGTCCTTTTATACTAACTGGATTTTTAATGGATACAACAAACTTTACTTTAATGATATTTCTGTTGATTAACTACTTATACTTTAAAGCAAGATGCGGAGTTTTGCTTTTTGGAAATCTTTTCCAGAATGTAATATTGTTGATTCCTTCAATACATAACTGTTTACTTGTACGCAAAATGATAGCAGGAGACTGGGATTTGAGTTAGTTACAATATTTCCTGAATTATAAAGTAATGAAATACAAGACTGGCTTTAATTAGATGTCATGGTTAGAAATGGCGTTGCATACCTTATACATTTGTATTTAGAAAGTTTTGTAGTTAAAACTGGTATATAACCTTTATTTGCCAAAATAAGTTAGCTTAGCCTTCAAACTACAAGGTATTGCAACTATCTTTCGTCAGTCACTGTTACAATATTGTTTTGTCAATAAGTCAAGAAAGGAGATTTGGTTTGGTTTGTTATGAATTTCGCGCAAAGCTACACGAGGGCTATCTGCGCTAGCCTTCCCTAATTTAGTAGTGTAAGACTAGAGGTAAGTCAGCTAGTCATCACCACCCACCGCCAACTCTTGGGCTACTCTTTTACCAACGAATAGTTGGAGTGACCATCACATTATAACACCCCCACGGCTGAAAGGGCGAGCATGTTTGGTGGCACGAGGATTCGAACCCGCGATCCGCAGATTGAGAGTCGAGTACCCTAAACACTCGTTAGTTTATTCCAGTGGAACCAGTGAATAAAATAACAGATTCGTGGAATATTTTTTTCTTCACTGAAGTTACACAATTCAATGAGGAGAATAAAAATTCGCAATTAAGATATATATATGCATGTTTTTGATAAAAAAACAAAATCCATTAGCTGTACGTTGGCCAAACATATTCGTAAGGGATGGGGTAGCTGCTTTCTCTCCCGGGAGAGGTTATTTATGAAGCCCACGTGGGGCATCGGGTCTTTTGATATGTTGCAATACGTAACAAATACAATTTATACTGCAATCTTCAGCTTTAAACTAATTATTTCCAGATTAAATTCTAAATCTGCAAATTCAAAAAAATGAAGTTTATTTTTTGCAGCTTTGTCAGTGCATTAGATTAGGCATATTCATGCAATACATTCATATAAATATGTTTTTTATATTTTAAAACAATTGTGGATTATAAGACATGCTACAAAAACTAAACTGGGTTCGTTTTGACGGTAAGCTCGTAATAACTTGATTAGCCTAGCTAATAATATGTTTGTTACCCTAAATAATTTACTACTAACTTACTTTCAAGGCGAGCAGGCTCGATTCCCTAAAGTCTCATCTGAAAATTCATGTTTCGTTACAATAAATATGTTTTCATGTATATATAAGAGAATCCAATTCTTTCTTATATTACAGTGCTAAACTATATTATAAGCCGATCTAGGAAACATGTACACGTAACGTGCCTCTTGTTTTTAATATTGATATTTTAAGTGAATCTCTTATTCAACTTGCCTACACGAATTAAACGATAATATCATTAATTTTCATCTTAACATTCTTCTTTGCTTATTTATAATATATATATATTTATATCAGTAAAATCTCGGATAGTTTTGTGTGGTTGACTTTCTATCGCTTAATATTTACATTTCAGTGGCTTAATAATATTCAAAATGATTAAGAATTGGGTTTGTTTTAGAACAAAACCACTTTTGACTATCTGCTGTTTCTACCGCGTGGAATCGAACCCCGGATTTTAGCGTTGTAAGTCCGTAAACTTACTACTGTCCCACCGGGGGGCTGAAAATGAATAAGGTATAGAAGAAGAAGAAAAAGCGTTTACTAATTAGAAACTTTGATCAAATAATCCTGGTGTTTAACTTTTTAATAACACTATCTCTATCATCACAGAACCCCGTAGAGTTTGTTTGTCTGCTAAACCTTTTCGAAATCTTTCAAAACTAGCGCACATGAATTTGATTGGGAAGAATGTTTTATATAGTTTGTTTGTTTGTTTGTTTTTGAATTTC